GTATCGGTGTCGGTATGGCGCTACGTTTGATAACGAGCGATCGAGCCAGCAGACGGACTATGACTCGGATTAAGGAACAATTGTGGTGCGTGCAGCGCTACGAATGGCTTGTGGATAGACAACGAGGATTTCGGCATGAGTACACGGACGGACGTTTGTCTGGGCGTTGGGGTGCGGTGTGTTGAAGGACGTCCTTAGATTACACTTGGCTTCTTGACCTGTTATTCAATATCCTTATGAGCATGACCTTCTCAATATCTTCGTCCTCACCATGCTGTGTTTGAAGACTTGAACTTGAATAGGTCTTGGGTTCTAGGTTATTCATTGCTTAATGTAATGATGGATGATGTCTTCGTTACCGTCTAACGACAATTCTCCACCCATGATCATATGTAAGCCTTGATTTCCATGCCGACTAACAAGGAAGACGTCGCAGCAACACCGTATAGCCGCCCGCCATTCCTTCGTCAACGTGATATCCAGAGAGTTTCTGACCGTGCCTTCGTCACACTCCAACGACCCCGCCATCCAAGCCATGTTCGTTATTCATTGCCTAGCGTTCGCACTTGAATAAAGGGTCAGTTCAGGTCGTGTCAGACATAGTCGCAATGACAGCTTACTCGTTGCCCCAACCCCTGTCGATAGCCCACTGCCATCCACCCCAACCATCATGATCACGGGGACGGACCCTGAACGGCTCGTCCTCACGCGCAGCAGGGCATGCCCAAGTGTCACCCAGACCGATGCCGTAGTACTTGAGGCCATAGCGAGTACCGTCGTTCTGACCGGGAGTAAGAGGGCGCGCGTCAGACGGCATCTCAGGTAAATCAAGGTCGAAGAGGTCGGGAAGGATACCCAAGAGGCACTCCATCTCAGCGTCAGTCTCGTGGATGTCAGCGTACGTGGGGGCATGGTGGTTCTCGAAGATATCGAACGGCGGGGTGGCAGAGGGAGCGGGAGCCGGGAAAGTGAAGGCAAATGGGTGAGACGGCTCTCCGAACTGCTGCATGTAGTGAGCCATGGAAGAAGGTTCTGCTGGGGACCATCGTACTACGGGCGCAGGGTTCTCCACTGCTGGGACATGGCGAGGGAAGCCGCTGCGTCTCTGTGGGTTGTTAGGCTTCTGTGCATGCATTTCTGCGGGAGTGGGCCAGACTACAGTGTTCTCTGCACGGAACGGACGCTCGGGAAGCGGCGCCGGCATGAAACCTTGGAACGTCGCTGTAGGCTCTGCTTGGTAGGACGGGCGGCGCGGCATGAAGTTCGCATCGTCGGGGTAGATGTCGGCGTGCGAAGGCTCGGGACCTTGATCAGTGCGCTTGGTACGGGTCAGCGCTCGTGGACGTGGGCGGTAATCTCCTGGACTAGAAAGCTCAGGTACATGATCACGGCGTGACGGCCAGACGGGGTTCTGGAGGTTGCTGAAGCGTCGAGGCTGTCCGAAGCCCGCAGGACCTGTAGGTACTTGCTGTAGTGGTGACTGCATGACCGCTGGGTTGATAGAGCTACGCTCCTCCGCGAAGATCCTACGAGGACGTTCGCCCATGAAGCCCGGAGGCGCGGGAACGACTTTGGTAGACTGGTGTTCTTCATCTGCGCGCTCTGGATAGCGATCTTGAATGTAGCTCTTGCGACGCAGAGGTGGCTTAGCGGCGTCGTCCTTGTCCTTGCCGTGGAGGTACTGGGCTAGGTCATTCGCGGTTAACGGCTTGTCCAGCGCCCGTCCTATGAGCTTACCCAATACGCCTTCTGAAAGGCCTTCTGAGCCGTGAGACTGGAGGAAGCGTGCTGCGGAGTCGACGTTAGTCGTCTCGTTCTTGATACCAGGGAGATCGAGGCCCGCACTCAGCTCTCCGACGTCTGGCGCCTTGGAGTCGGGGTTGAGTCGCTGACCAGGGAGGAGGCTACGCGGACGGTTGAAAGAGTTTCCTGTGAGGTTACTGCGAGAGATTGCCCCGGGGCGTTCACGATTCACAGTGATGTGGTGGTCTAGAAAGTCAGCTTCGATCTTCGCGTTGTGATGAGATTGACATTACCTTGTAGCATTTCCTGAAGAGAATCCAACGGCATATCCTGCTGCTTGAGTGGCTTCCGCGAGGACTCTCCGAACTTGAGCTCTTCGTAGCCCTGGTAGTTGGGACGCAGATCTCTAGTAGGCCGGAAAGGCGAGTCTTCTGCAATCCAGTCAGTCTTGCTAGAGGTGCTCGCGAGAGAGAAGACTTACCATCAAACACGTCTCGCATCTTCGACTTCTGTCGCGGGCTGGTAGGCGGAGTCGGACCTGCAATTCCGGTGGACATGCTGGTCTCGGCTGCCGTTGGACTGAATGTCGGTGCTTCTGGGTTGAACGAGACAGACCTTCGCGAGGCTCTCGGCTGCTTCTGTTTCTGCTCCATGTTGTGTCTTTGGTACAGAAGTATCTTCAAAGGAGAGCGTCTTATATGAGCGTGAGATGGCGGTCCTTGAGCATAACCCTCAAGCCCGAATACGACAGTGAATGCTGCGGTGACTTGCGATTTTAATCGTCCGTCACCTTCGTTTACGGGCGCGACTCGAATAGCAAAATCAGCTTGGCGTGTCGCAGTGAATTGCGATATATACACGCAGTGAATAGCGATATATATGTAATACAACTTCTGTAATGAGCGACTGAGTTAAGACTGTCGTAGATATTGTAGTACAGGTAGGAGAGGAAATGAGTGTAGATGGTGTCGTTAGATTGACCAGGCGAGACTGGCTTGGACTGAGCCCATGATTTCTACATCAAGCTGCACAAGTGAAGGTGAGTATCGAGCGCCACATAGTGTGGCTTGCCAGGCTACCTAGGCAGCGCCTGATGCGAAGGTGAAGGTACACACCCTGGCCCCTGGTGACGACACATGGTGTAGGCTGTAGTACGGGTGGCAAGACAGCTTCTGACTTCCTATGGCATATGTGACGTGCTCTAGCATCGGCTCCCGCGCTTTTTATGAGGTTTGACGCCCCCACGAAGCCAGTCAGCGTGTGGGTGATCGTAGACTAAACAGCGCACGGACGGTCTCGATGACTGCTCGCGTGAGACTTCTAGGCCAGCACACCAATCAGGAGCGAGCACGATGACGCCCTGACGCGCCTCATTGAATAGGCTGGAGTGCAACCTATGTTTAAAACCCTCGCACAACACGCCCCTTTGCGCCTGCTACATTCAAAGTCAGAGCTTCTAATTTTTTTGCCAGGTTCACAGCCCCCCAGCTCACATTACGACCGCGCTCGCTAATCTGTGGTAAACCACAGCACGCGACCCCATCTTTTTCCACCACAATAATGCACACTAGCTTCACCAGCATAAATCAACAAATACACCAGCCAGACCATCATACTCACCATGCCGATGATGTTCACCCCAGACGACACGTTGCTGTTCTCACCTAGCAAGAAACCGCCGTTTGCTCACTCACCTTATGGTCACGAGATACGGACTGCGACTCGATGTCACCATGGACTCCACCCCTCCAATCCACAGCATACTCCGTGGTGTTCCAAATGTACAGTTTCGCAGGCTAGAGCAAAGTCCGACGTTGCACTCAAGAAGCTGGTAGCCGAAGGCGGATTAAGACCTCCAGTGTACATGCGCGACCGACGGTGGAACAGGGCAAGAAACGGGTACCTGATAGCGAAGCAGCGACTCGAGAAGACACGCAAGGAAGAGCAGCTGCGCTGGGAGCGCGAGCGAGCGTGGGACGACGCTCACACCCAGTTCAACCCCAACAACATCCAGGCAGCAGTCTTACCCAACAAATCACCCTCGTTGTGCCCCGTCTGTGACTCCTTGGTATCATCTTACCCCACAGCTATGCCTGAGGCGCAACCCACAAAGTACGAGGCTTGGTGGGAGAAACCAAGCGCTCTTGCCACCTCACACATACTCGTGCGCCAGACACCACCACGTTCGCGCAACCAACATCCTGTATCCACGCAAACCCATCGAGGCAACCCCATACTGCGCCAGATAATCGCAGACAAGCGCAGAGAAATGCACTCGGAGGCCAACTTGCGGCGGGCCTGGGAAGCCCGAGACAAGACCGAGGCAGCGCTACGTCGCAAGCACGGCTTGGGCGACATGCCCATCAACAAAGATTTCTGGGACTACCCGATATCCGGATACTACAGTCGCCTTACCCATCAGAATAACAGAGAAATGGTCCGTTCGGCGGAACGGCGCGCGCGCGGTAATACTGCACGGCCCCGACCGCCGCGCAGTTCACTCTCTTACTCGGAGACGACGGACGACGTAGAAGTCGAGCCCGGCTTTGAAGAAACGCTGAAACAGAAGGAAGAGCGCGAGGAATGGGAGCGACAAGTCCGGAAAGTAGCAGGCGAAGTTGGATACCTCTATTTCGTTGGCGGCGGAAACAACCTTTTGGAAACGTGGGAAGAAGATTACGAGCGGAGTGCCGATTATCTCATTACAAGGAACGAACATCCTGTAGCGGAGACGCCGAATGAGGGCGATGTCCAGGATGGGAGTGAGACGACGGATGGGGATGCCAATGAGGAGGATTGGGGCGATGAAATGGATGTCGATGACGCTTAGGAGGGTGATGATGCATTTTGTCATGTCAACAGCACTTAGATTGCTAGTTGAGTCGTTGTATAAGAGATACACAGTGTACGGTTATATTAATGATTGAGGGGTTCAGACACAGCTCCATTGACATGAGGTTGACGTGCTGTGTGACTGGGCGCCATATGAGGGATGTCATCGCTCGTGGGGTCGCTGCGGGGCAACCTTGTGGCGCTTCTGGAATGCGTCGTGTGGGTATAGATGACATCGAGGCATGGGTTGAACGGACGATGCACAAAGCGTTGACGACGCCAACACGCGGGTGAAAAGCTTGTCCAACGCTAACCGACCTAGGTGCATGGAAATGTCGATCGGGAGCATGTGCGAAATCACGTTATATTCTCCAAGAATTCTACTTTCAATGATACATTATAGCGCTGTCATGTAAGACGCACATCTACGAAGAAGATTGAGTCCCCTCATTTCCCACGCCTATATCATCATGATGGCCAGGTAGTTCGTGCACAAAATCACTACCCTGAACTTCCACAACGCCTACTTCACCTGAGCCTTTGAGTTCGCGGGCATTCTCCACTGTCTCGAGTTCAGATGCTTCCCTGTCCATTGCCTCGTGCTTCCCCGAACCAGCATCTAATTCGAATCTCTCTTTTTCCATAGCCTCGATTCCCAGCTTGTGCTCGCCATGCAATTCTCCTTTATCGTATTGATTGTCTTCCAGTGGGGTCTTGCGTCGGGAAGGCCCCAGTCGCTTCTTCCAGACAATGATGAGGCACAATGCTGCAAGGCCCGCGATACCTGCGCCTACTCCAATCCCAGCATATGCAGCTGACGAAAGGCCTTTTGAGCTATTTGTAGCTGAAGGTAGAGGCGGATCCGGTGTTTGGGTGGGTTCCACCTGTGAAGGTATAGGCACGATATCCGCGGCGCTATTACCATGAGACGCTTGACTTAAGTTGAATAGTAAGCGCTCGTAATCCACGGATATGTAGGTTTCTTGCAGGAAAGTCCGACCGAGCATGTACTCTGCGGGGCTCGAAGCCCTTTTCAATGGGAAGTAGTGAGTAGAATTGTCTCCCAAAGGAGGAGTAAGCCGGAGATCGAATGCCGAGTAGGGAAGTGTGTAGTTTACTAGCTGTTCCATACTTGAGACCCCTGTTGAGAACTTTACTTCAGGATTTTCGCTTAACAGTCGTGCATGCGTCGTGTCGTTGACGAGGTACAGTTCCAAAGAGTCGTCCCAGATCAATCCGAAAGCTGCTTCGAATAGTTGACAGCCTTCTTGCGGTAGCCAGATATGTGGAACATCGGAGTCGACTGTAAAAACAGGTGGGCGAGAAAAATTGTTTTTATCCGGCTCCCACGAGGCGCCTCCAGTTATACTAATTGCATCCAAAGGTATACCGAATGACGCATTCTGTCCGATAGAGAAACCCAATGTTGTAGTCGTTGCAGGATCGAATCGTGCAGCATCGTATCCGCCGAGGACCAGACTAGCTGAGCTGTTGCCTACCAGAAAAGATTAGCTATAAGCCATGTATCCGCCCGGTCTAGTTCTACTTACGATTGACAGAGCCCGCTGTATAGCCAAGACTCAAACTAGGAATGACACCTGACTCCCAGAGCGACGAGAGGAGTGAAGGGTGTTGTGCTCCTAGGGGCCCGACCGATCCTGGAAAGAGACCTAGAGTCCCAAGTCGGAACCGCTTCCGATCAGTTTCAGCAATGTACTGTGAGGAGATTTTGCGGTCTTGCGCAGTCTTTCCGAGGTATACATCGTCGACGCCAAAGTTAGGCTCGGGATTGGCGTTGTCTTCGCTAACATCGGAGTAGCTGTTGATGTATTCCGCAATTGCCAACGGTACGAGATGACTAGGTGTACCTTCCCAGGTGTTTGATGAACCGCCGTAAAAGAAAGCGCATGTGTCGTTGCACCATTCGCTCTCATTTGGCACAATGACAACGGTAGAGGTAATGCCAGCGATGCATCGAAAATACTGAACTGGATTACCCACAGAGAGGTCAAAGGTTGACCACGGACCGTCTGCGCCGTCCCTGTTCTACGGTCAGTACAACCTCAAACTCATGATCGTGGAAAATTACCAATGTCCACTAGGCGCGACGACCAGCGGCGCCACAGAGGCTGCCTGACCCAAAGAGCACCCTAACCAGACTGCTGCGAGCCACATACGAGCGGGAAGGGGCAGGCGAAATGCCATGACGAATTAGTTATTGTGCCCGCGTTCCTGTACCGGCACATTCGTCAAAGCAATGATGGTGTAGTTCGGGAGTAGAAGAAGTGGACATGGAAATGGCTGAAACCTCGGGAAGTAAGCAGTGGCGGGAAAACTAACCATGCGGGGGCCATAACGACTGCTTGTCCCCGATTTAGAAGAACGAAATGGATTTTAGATTGGCAGACGGGATGGCGTTCACTGTTGGGGGCCAGTATGCGCCAAGTAGTCCTTACCGGTCTGGCCCTGTTAAGCTAACCTGCAAGAGAAGGAACGCCGCACGGGCATGCAATGTAAGCTGTATATCAAACTTCGAAACAGGCGCCTCGTATGTGGCCTATTTGGGAGCTTCGATATGCTTGACTCTTACTGAGATAGGTTATGATGACCCATCGCAACGAGCGACTCACAACTTCCGAAATCCATATGTACCCATACAATCAGATCCTCTCGAAAAGAGAAGTATCGTCAAATCAAGAGCCTGAGAAGGGTCATGTATCCATTCTCAGAGAATAAAAGGGTATACAGACTCACAGAACAACCCCCCTCACAACTCCCTCCTCTTCCTGGCCTCCTCATCCCCCTCCTTAACCTCACCCGTCCTCTTCAAATCCACAAACTCGCCCTCCTCCTCAAGCGCATCAACATCACCCTTCTCCTTCGCCTTCTGTAGTTCCTCCGCTTCCTTCCTATCAGCCTCCTTCTGCATCTGCTCATCGACCTCTTGTCTCTCTACAATCTCCGCTTCTTCGCCGACCTCTCCCGTCAATGGCCCCTCGCTCTCTTCGTACCAGTCTGTGCTCTCTGTCCACTCGATGATCTTCTCCTTGGCTGTCTCGCTGAGGGTGTAGTAGCCGGGGTTGTTGCGCGGCTCGAACATGGAGGTGTGGGCCCAGGTTTCTGCTGTGGCTTTGTCGTTCACGGCGGGCATGAAGAAGTCCTTGAGAGGGCCTTTGGGTAGGTTGCAAAAGGTGCGGTCTTTGCCTGCGACTTTGCCCGTCCAACCATGTTCCTTGTTCTCGCTGTTAACGGCATGACCGAGCGTGGTGTGCATATTGCAGAAGCCGAGATCGTGGCTCGTGGTGAGCTTGGCAATCTTCTCAAGTCGCTTCCGCATCTCTTCGGGGCGGGCTAGGACTCCGACGAATTCCAGATGTGATGTGGCCCATGATACGCCTTGAGTTATCTGGTCTTTCTTCATGTATGCTGCTGCGCCTCCTGCTGCTATTGCGCCCGCAGCGCCAGCAAACATGGCTACCTTTCCGTAGCGTTGCCACAGCGGTGCTGATGCTGCGTCGCCAGTAGACGAGGGTGCCGGAAGCATCTTGCTCGTATCGACGGCACCAGCCGCAGTGTCCTTGCCGCCCCATCCAAACGCGCCTGCGAGGTTGTTGTACGCCGAGTATGCCGAGCTCGCGGTGTTCCAATGCTTCTCCGCGCCATGTGCCACTACGCCAGGCGCTATACCGAGGTATGGTGTATCGAAAGCGAGGATGCCCTGTATGTACGGGAACATGAGCGCCGAATGGTCGGCAAGCGAGCCCGTAGAGCCGGTCTGCGAGTTGGACTGTGAATGAATCGGCTGTTCCGCGAGGATGGACAAGAGCGTCTCAGCCGCAACGATGCCGCCCATAGAATGGCCGACGAGTATCGTGCGCACGGAAGGGTCGACAGTAGGCGACGGCGTCGAATTGGCGACCTCGAGGTCTATGACTTTGTTCTGCAGCCATTCTTTGAAGCGGCCGACGCACTCGTGCAAGTCGCCTCGCGTCTCGAACTGGGGGTACGTGATGGTCAGGACGGTGACTTTGGGCAGCGCATGCTGGAGGAGCGCCTTCACGTGGCTCGGGAAGGTTCTGAATGTTTCATCTCCACCCTATAGCACGTGTCAGTATCGTTCTCGCATTTGTTCGCATCGCATCGGGCGTCGCATTGCACATGGCTGGGCCTGAGACATGGAGATGCGACCCCGGTGATGACGTAATGGGGGTATCGCGTAAAAGCTACGTACCTTGAAGCCGTGGATGAAGCACAGCAATAACGTCTTCCTCATGGTCCTCGACTATGCTCCTGTGCGCCTGCATGGTGGGGCTGGGTTAGTGGAGGGCTGACGATAAGTCGACTGGGCGGGAAGGCGATTACGTCTGGGGTGCAGCTACGCTCGCTTACCTGGCAGGGGGCTGTTGGCCGGGAGGGTCGGTTGCCGGAGAGCAGCACAACGGCATGAGAGTAATTTGAAAAGGTTGGATAAATGCGCGGGCAGGGAGAATCACATGCAGGAAATTGAGAGAGTGAGGTATTCATGTGCTTTGATTCATCGTTTCACGCAAGCTTTCGCTGCTGCGACTGCTCTTAATTGTGACCACATGTGCTACATGACTACTCCGTGACACATGGTCTCTCTGACACATCCGACTGCTCGTGCCTCTTCTCTGCCAATCCATCAATGCGGGTATAGTACAAACAATGCAAACTCCAACGCCATATCGTGAGCCTCTTCGGCAATGCATAAACATAAGAAAGGTGTAGGCGCCAGTGCTACCGACTGCTCGTAAGCAGCACAATGGCTACTGCAGATAGACTTGCTATCGACAGTTCCGAAGCCTTGAGCTGCCATGATGCGCCTACCGCAACGACGTCGAACGGTGAGCCACCGCCCGAGTCAGTGTTTGACAGCTGGGCGTTGGGCGCTTGTGTGGGATCTGCCGCCTGCGCAGTGTCTGTAGGTGGCGCGACAGAAGTCGTGAACGTTCCAGTGGCATTCGGATCCAGCGTCAAGCCCCCTGTTGACGAGCTCGTAGTTGTCGGTTGGGCTGAACTGGTCGGCTCGTCATCCCCATCGTCCGAATCCGCAGTTGAACTTGACGGAGTTGACGTCGCTTCGATTGCTGAGTTTGTGAAACTTGTAGATGTTAAGACCGCCTGGGTGCTTGTTGCTTGCTCTGATGTCTTCGTGCTCGTCTTTTGGGCAGTCTCGCTCGAGGTCGTTACGATAGTTACTCCAGGGCATAGACTTTGGATACCGAGCCCATTCTGAAAGACGCCGATGATGCTCAGCTCGCCCGCATCGACGTCCGCACATTTGTCTTTCACTTCCTCCGCGAGCGCCGAAAGACCCCGCACGCAGGATGCGGTACATGTGGCGCCCGACTTGAAGTCATCGGCTGAGCAGCCCGAGATGGCGGAGTTGTAGACGGTGTTGCAAGAAGTTGGGAGATTTTGGATCCGCGGAATGAAGGCCGAGAGCGAAACTGTTGTCGCTGAGGATATCGACGCAAGCGTGAGCGCCACCAAGGCTGAACGTATTGAGGCGGGTAGCATCGTGAGTGTTGTGAAGGTTTTCGTGAATTGGGGTCGGCGGACCCGTAGGTCTCGAATGGAGAAAGGGCCGTGACCCAGAGTTCCGAGTGCCAATCTCGAACTTCGATCACGAAGCCTGGATGTCCTGGTGGAAAGATGTCTTCCGGAGGTGGTGAGACGACTTGCGTTTGAACAGGCGGTATGACGTCTTCAAGACAGCGGGTTTGTTTGCGTCGTGTGAAATTTCGAATGCCGCCACCTGCCGACTGCACTGGGGCTTTTTGCTGTGATGTCCCGGTGACTGCGCGTTGCCGTGGACAACCAAATTTCAGAACTCTTGCCGTCGACCTTCTGGAGAGATGGTGATGCGCCCCACTTCTCACGTATGGGGATGTCGACAGAACTGTTTCGACACAATGGTGTAACGGCAGTGCGCGGATATACCAAAGATCGCCTTGTCTATACAGAACTATCCAGAAAAGCTGCAATAAAGAACGTGAATGACGCAACACGCAAACGAGGGAACGACTGTTGTTTCTTCCTGGCACCGGGCCTGCAAAAGAGCGAATGTACCTCCGAAACGAACTGTTGGGGAACAAAGACGCACAGCGTTAAGAAAGAAAACAGTTTGCAAAAGAAAGGAAAGGGAGAAGGGAGGAGAGCCGCGATCTTCGTGATATTCAGTCGCTCAACAACCAAACTCAGGCAGCGTTGGGACCAGGCGGCGGGACCCGCCACATCTTAAGGTAGATCTACAAGGACACCCGTCCTATCCGCACACAGAAGACCCTTACCTTGCCTTTGCCTCATCATAGCTCAAGTGGGTAGCCACGAGACGGGCAGTCCTTGTACAGCTATCTGAGTGTCGCAAGTGGCCGTTATTCAGTTTTCTGAAACAACGGGGTAGGCGGTGGTTAGTGTCGCTGCGGCGTTGCAGCTGCCCATTGGCTGGGCGAGCCAGCGCAGGCGTTACATGTCGCGACCGCGCTTCAGATGCAGGTACCCGGAGCTGGACAGGAGATGTGTAAGAGGTGTGTGTCGCGCGTGTACTTAATTGAGCTGCCTCGGCGGCTGCGTATGGACTGGCGGGCGAGGCGCGAACCACAATCGCCCGAGATGAGACGGTTATGGCGCCTGCGTGGCTGTGGCGCGTGGATGCGTTCGCACGTGGAGTCTAAGAGCCTAGAAGGGAGAAGCTATCAAGATGCGGACTTGGCTTTCTTGGAGTGTACGTATGACGGGTTTGACGTGTGTGTGATGGTTATAGATGCGAGCTGCGTCTACCCTGATGGCCGCTGTTCGCGCTTTAACTTCCTCGCCGCCGCTTCCTTGCACCCAAACCTCCATCATCCCAGCACCACCACGAGTCCATATGCGGGGCTTCATATAGCAAGACATTTTGCATGATGGCAATTGTTTCATTGTTTCAATCTCTCCTCAGCTATAGTTCCTGACGTTTTTCTATAGTTTCCATATCCGCGCTGACCGCGTCCAGCATCCTTGCCATGCGCGGAGCTCCTTGGTCTGCCTACTCCATAACGATAACGCTCCTGAACCTCACCTTTCCGCTTTCCATGTGCTTGACAGCATCTTCTACCTTGTCGAATGGGAACTTCTCGATCATGCACTTCACGCCCTGTTTCTCCGCAAAGTCAATCGCTTCCTCACTGTCCAGCGCATGTCCGGATGGCCACCCATGGACGGATTTGCCCTTCATGATCAGGCTCACGGTGTTGACTGGAATATCACCAACAGGCGCAAGGACGAGCAGTTTGCCTAGAGGTCCAAGTCCATCAACCAGCGGCCCTATGATCTGGGGGTTCGGTGCCGTAAC